TGTAGGAAACTCTTGTGGGACACTCTTGTAGGACACTCTTGTGGGACTCTCTGTAGGACACTCTTGTGGGACACTCTTGTGGGACACTCTTGTAGGACACTCTTGTGGGACACTCTTGCGGGACACTCTTGTGGGACACTCTTGTGGGACACTCTTGTAGGACACTCTTGTGGGATACTCCTGTAGGACACTCTTAAGGGACACTCTTGTGAGACACTCTAGTGGGACACTGTTGTGGGACAGTCTTGTAGGACACTCTTGTGGGACACTCTTGTAGGACACCCTTGTGGGACACTCTACTGGGACACTCTTGTAGGACACTCTTGTAGGACACTCTTATGGGACACTCTTGTGGGACACTCTTGTAGGACACTCTTGTGGGACACTCTTCTGGGACACTCTTGTCGGACACTCTTCTACGACACTCTTGTAGGAAACTCTTGTGGGACACTCTTGTAGGACACTCTTGTGGGACACTCTTGTGGGACGCTCTTATAGGACACTCTTGTGGAACACTCTTGTGGAACACTCTTGTGAGACACTCTTGTGGGACACTCTTGTGGGTCACTTGCAGGACACTCTTGTGGGACATTCTTGTAGGAAACGCTTGTGGGACACTCTTCTAGGACACTCTTGTGGGGCACTCTTGTGGGACACTCTTGTAGGACACTCTTGTGGGATACTCTTGTCGGACACTCTTAAGGGACACTCTTGTGAGACACTCTTGAGCGACACTGTTGCGGGACACTGTAGGTCACTCTTGTGGGACACTCTTGTGTGACACTCTTGTAGGAAACTCTTGTGGGACACTCTTGTGGGACACTCTTGTGGGACACTCTAATAGGACACTCTTGTGGGACACTCTTGTGGGACACTCTTGTAGGACACCCTTGTAGGGCACTCTTGTGGGTCACTCTGGTAGGAAACTCTTGTGGGACACTCTTGTGGGACACTGTTGTGGGACACTCTGTGGGACACTCTTGTGGCACTCTTGTGGGACACTCTTGTAGGATACTCTTGTGGGACAGTCTTGTAGGACAATGTTGTGGGACACTCTTGTGGGACACTCTTGTGGGACACTCTTGTAGGACACTCTTGTGGGATACTCTTGTGGGACAGTCTTGTAGGACACTCTTGTGGGACACTCTTGTGGGACACTCTTGTGGGACACTCTTGTAGGACACTCTTGTGGGATACTCCTGTAGGACACTCTTAAGGGCCACTCTTGTGAGACACTCTAGTGGGACACTGTTGCGGGACACTCTTGTGGGACTCTCTTCCAGCTCCCCAGATACTCCGCGTACTACAGTTGTACTACAAGGTCGCCAGTTCTCAGCTTCCAGCTCCCCAGATACTCCGCGTACTACAGTTGTACTACAAGGTCGCCAGTTCTCAGCTTCCAGCTCCGCTTCCAGCTCCACAGATTGCTCCGCGTACTAAAGTTGTACTACAAAGTCGCCAGTTCTCAGCTTCTAGCTCCACAGATTGCTCCGCGTACTAAAGTTGTACTACCAAGTCACCAGTTCTCATCTTCTAGCTCCCCAGATACCCCGCGTACTAAAGTTGCACTACAAAGTTGCCAGTGCTCGCCTGCATTTCGCGCGCTCGACACGCACTATCTCCGCAGAGGGTTGCGCGGGCACCGGACAAATCGCACTCTCGCCTGCATTTCGCGCACTCGACACGCACGATCTCCGCAGAGGGTTGCGCGCGCATGGGACAAATCGCACTCTCGCCTGCATTTCGCGCACTCGACACGCACGATCTCCGCAGAGGGTTGCGCGCGCATGGGACAAATCGCACTCTCGCCTGCATTTCGCACACTCGACGCGCATGATCTCCGCAGAGGGTTGCGCGTCAAGTCTCCAAAACGAGCGTTTCGTATGAGACTTCCTCAAAAACTCACATGTCAAAGTCTGCAAAACGAGCGTTTCGTACGAGACTTCCTCCAAAAGTCAAGCGGAAACACCCATCGGAGCACACACATCACGCAGCCCTGCCAAGCAGTTTCGCGATTCCAGCCCCTCCAAACAACATCCGCGCACACGCCAATCCCAATGTGACAGCGACATTCACCTCTAACACAACTCACAACCTCACGATTCCCTGCGCCTGCCACGAATCTTTCCCCATCCACACGTCTAACGCCCACAAAGTACTGCGCCTGCCACGAAATGTTAGATCCCTCACACCTCGCAACCTCACGATTCCCTGCGCCTGCCACGAGAATCGCACTTCCACGCTTCAAAGCCCGCACGAAGTCCTGCGCCTGCCACGAAAAGTGACAATATCATCGCATGTGAGCTTCAACAAAATTTGCACCACACCACACGTTTGGAATGATTTCGACCCGTTCAGAGCACACTCCCGTCCACCAAAATCGGCATTTCAGCTGAGACTTGTCACGAAAACCGAGCTTCGATGCCACACCCTGAAACGCAAATCCCAATGGCACGGCCACATCCAACACCCCAAAAACACGACTCTCCAAACGCTAATCCCAATGGAACTGCGCAGCAATCTGCGGATCTCACAAAACGCTGCGCCTGTGCAGCGAAATGCATCACGTTTCTTGCGCGACATGTCCTTCTCATGCAAATCACAATGGAATAGCGGCGCAAACTGACACGTGACACATCCATGAAAAGTCACTTGCAAAAGCTTCCCCCAATGGCAGCAAATTTGAGACGCGACGACGACGACACGACGACGAGAGACGACGACAAACGACGAGAGACGACGAGACGACGCAAGCCATGCAAACACAGCTCCAACCCCCAGACCCCCAACTATAAACCGGAACCCTTCGCTACGCATTCGGGAAAAAAATAAAAAAAACACACGATGCGCAAATAGGTTGTGGGTGGTCAGCAAACTCTGTGCAGTGCTATTAGGATACTCGAAACGACTGCAAAAGAATTGGGGAACTCTGAAAGGCACCTTGGGTTTGTCGATACTTGGAAACACATGTAGCAAATGACTATGACAATTTCAGGTTGAATCAAGTTTTCTTCTCCAAGGAGGTTGGTCATCAAATGTTATCAACCATTGGTAATCACTGTAATCACAAATATCCACCAATGGTTGAGACCTCTGCTCTCCGGCTCTCCTCCTCTTCTTCGATGGTGGGATCCTTCTCAACGTCCACTTTGGCCTTCCAACATCGCAAATAAAGGTTGCAAAAACCCTGCGAATTTGGGCAGGATTATGATGATTGAGTCCTTGATTGCTGTTCACACACACAAAACAACATAACACAATAACTGACTGGTGCTTAGCAGGGAATGAGGGAATGGATCCAATAGAATCTCTATTGGGGGCTCATTCCCTTATTCCCTATTAATTAAGCACCAGTCAGATAAGAGATAAATTCCTTTAGAGGGATGCGTTACTTTTTCAGGAGAGTACAGTCAATCTATGTCAATCTCGCCCTACTATTAACTATACGGATCGAGGACACATAACACGGAATGCAGGAGTGCTCAGTGACTCTGAGCGGTCTGAAATTCATTGGACAAGACTCGTCCACCCTCAACATCGTTTTCAAAGAGAAAAAGATGGAACAAGGACGCCGATCTGGGCGTACCAAACACCAATGCGACAAAGCGACACAGACCCACTAGACCAGCCAATGACCAGTCTATGTATATTTGCGGTGAACATAGTCAGATTGAAACACTATATTCAACCGAATTCAAGGTGTCTTTGGTTGGTGCTTCTTTCGCCTGAGAATTGAAACGACCTGAGTCGTCACAATTCCCCCTAATGAAGCTCAGTGCTCAAAGCGAAAGTGCTTCTTCTACACCCAACCTGTGGTTGTTGGCCTGAGAGGACAGTGACAATTGCTTTGAAATGCTTTGACATTGCCTAAACATGTCCCCACAATCACAGAGCTTGTTCCATATCACATCAATATATGTATATATATATATATATTTGAATAGGAGGGTGAGGATACGCAAGGGCTCTCCTCCTTCAAATCAAGCTGCACTCCCCCTCCCAAAGATCTCCTCCAAACCCACCAAGCTCATACAAGCCCGGTTAGGTCACCCCCAGCCCCCCAGACTCGCCATGTCCCAACCTCCGCGGCCACGGTCTTCTCCAGGACGCCGGGCGCTGCCACCTCCAACGCCGCGCGGACGTGCTCCGAGCGCTTCAGCTCGCGGAAGGCGCGGCCCAGGTGCCGTCGCCACTGGAGCTCCTGCAGCGACTGCTCCGATTTCCCAGGATCTGGTGGTCCACGAATAGAGATTTAAGGGATTTATAAGTATTACAGCCCAAGCCCAAGTAACAAAGACACTTGGAAGAAAGGCAAGACACTTTCAAGAAAGGCAATGCATCTTTTTTCGAAGAACATGAGGGAAAGCAAAAAAGTAAAAACAAGGGAACACTATTCTAGACTATCTTGCTTGGGCTAAGAGGTCGAAGTTGGAGGTGGTCAAGGATGGACAATAGTCATACTACCCTACAAGTCCAAGGGCCAAGTTAAACCTGGTCCTTGACCTCATTGAGCACTGGTTGTGCATAACCGGATCCAGTCAAAATTAAATGAGGTCTGTAAGACCTGTAGCTATGTTATACTACTTCCTTTAGCACGTCACTTTAGCTCTTTAATTCTGTGGTCAAAGAGGTCTCCGGGAGCAAACAGGCTGAAACCATCAAAACACAAAGGCTGAAACCGCCGTCCTTCTGTTGTCGCTCCTCCGGGCTGATGGTGGCCTTCACCACCACCACCTTAGATGTTTAAGGAATGATGTGGCCCAGTTTCACCAAGAACTGACTTGTACTAGACCTATTTATACTATATATATATATATATTTTTACAACAAATGACAGTACTATAAAGTAGGATACAATATAGGTATTCTACTATTCTATAAACTATTATTGCTCACACACACACAAAACACTCCAAAGCAGGCAACTGTCGTACTTGGCACTGGCACCACCGGCGTTTCGCCCGCCGTCTCGGCTGCGTCGGGCGCCGCGACCGGCGCATCGGCGGCGCTTCGGTCGGGCATCGGAGCGTCGGCGTCGGGCTCAGCGTCTGCGGCCTGTCGGCCGGGACTCATTGGACGGTGGAAAACATGGGGTTCCCGGGTTCCAGGGCCTACTGACAGGTGGAACAGCACCATGAGGGTGACTAGAATGGCACCATGGGGTTCCTAGTAAGAATCTGACAGGTGCGGTGAAAATGTTTATTTTTTCAGAAGAGCTGAATAGAATGGCACCATCTGGCACTATGCGATCAGCATCACACATGTCCAACTCACCACTGACCGCATGCTTTGGTTATTCGATGTTATTCAGATCTTTTTTCTATACAGAATTTCCAAAAACCTCATAATTACCGCACTTGCCAAACACGTGCTTCATCCAAAACACTAATCTGTCCCAACAGCCAACAGCCCCCGAAGAACCCGCCAAAGCCCGGTGGGTAATCTCTCCGAACAAACACCGACCTGCACGCTGACACTCTGCAAGTCCGAGATCATGACTTTCACCTGCGACGTCCGAGACGTTGACCGAGACGATGTGAAGAAACGAGACAGTGGCCAGGTGACAACACCAGGTGGGCAACATAGGGCTTCTCTTGTAATGGGATCACAAGAATCAACACCCAAACACTCCATGTAATGATGGAATATTGATCCCTGATACCAAACAGAATAGAGGTAAATATGCAGAACATTCAACTTGCATGTCTGGCCGGGATATGATTGGATCAACTTGCGTGACCCATTTGTCATGCGAGGACCGAGAATGGAGGACTTGTGGTCACTTGTCATGCGCCGCATGCGCTGGCACTCAATCGACTTCACAACCAAATGTGTAAAACCAGCACCCGCCCATGAGAACCACGGACTAGTCTGCCGATACTCCATCTCCCATGGAGTTGCCACAGGCATTGGCCCAAGCTGCGGCCAATCCACCCAGGAGATCTGTTGAGGGGCATGGTTTTTTCCCCGCCCTGTTTGGGTTCTATTTCCACCTTGTCACGCATGGGCTTTCTTTAACCCTGTGCAGGGTTCTTTTTCCACCCTGTGCAGGATGCCTTTTCCACCCCTGCAGGAAAGGAAACCCGCAGGGCAGAAAAGAAACTAAAACCCAGCCCTCTGTTGAGGTTCCGCGGCACAACACACCACAACCAGTTCAAATCCATTGATCCAAAGCACCAGCGACCTGCAAAATCGCCGGGATCCCTTGGGGCCTCCTTGATCATGGAGACAGCCATGCGCAAGGTTTCCACCTGCGACGTGGTTCAAACCCGGTCGAGACGTGCTTCTGGCGCACGTGGTCTCTGGGAGAAGTGGACCAAAAGAACTCATCAATGTAGACCCTGGGGAGGTCCCAAAACCAATCTCTGGACTTCTGCTGGGTAGAGACGTGCTAGGGGAGCCACACAAACCTTCAGCCCATGACCACACAAGCCCCCCCAAAAATGATTGAAAGCTCGCCCTCGAAGCGTCGTGTCACACAAGCTGGCAGGAAACTGCAAACCGTTTTTTGAGATGACAGGATTAGGTCACTCAAACCAATGAAAAAACATCTCAAACCAGTGAAACCAATGACAGCAAGTGTCTTTTTATTGCAAACCAAGTATATAGATCCTTTATGATCACTTAAAGCGGGTTTTATTCCTTCAGGTGAGGCGAAGAAACACCCAGTCTCCTTCCAAAACCTACTGATGACGGAAATCACCCAAACATGCACATTCGACAGATTTGAAGACCACCAAGGAATAGATTCAATTGATGTCAAATGATTTCAATAGACACTTCTTGACTTGTCTCTGTTCCCTTCACCGTTTTCTCAAGCATCCGGAAAACATATGGATGTCTCTGTTTTTCAGCCGACCGATCTCTCCACTTCGGCATCTGGATGGGCATCTTCAGGCCTTTTCCACCTTCACCACCTCATCGCGCAGGCAACGCACCTGCGACCAAGAGTTCTTTGGGGGAGGCTGTTCTTGTCCACTCACATCATATGCAAGGTTCAGGAGTGGACAAGTGCTCCCTAGGGGAGCAGGAGTGGAGGTTGTTCTTGGGGGAGGTTGTTCTTCTTCCCGACCTATGACTTGTGCTTAGTTCCAGGAGTTCCTGCTTTGCATCGGTTCAGTCTTAGACCAGTCTGGAAACTAGTGATGTCAGGACTGCAACACATCTGACTTGATGTCGCATGTCGGGTCAGTGTCCCAATCTATTTGACCGCCGGAGACCGTAGCCCTCCTGCCTGGTGCAGGGTCAGCGCCTTAAATTCTGGATCCAAGCCTGGAGCTGAGACATTGATCCAGCGAACCAAAAAAAGATCCGTGGAACTCGGATCCACTTGTGACACAGGTACATATATACTACTATATAAGTATATATATTTATATACGTAGTTATATCTGTCAGATTTGAGCAAATCTGGAGATCTGAATCTAATACGAGATCACTCTACCAGTAACACAAATGACTTTTGAATTGATGCCAACACAAATTCTGCAGTTGATGCATACATTCTGCTGACTGCAGATTCTGTCCCCAAGGCCCCGGCTGGCCACGGCCGACCTGGAGTCTCGTCAAGTGTCATAGTGACGGCTCCACGTTCACTGACACTGATTGGTGGATAGGTTCTAAGTCACAGTGACCGGCGGGCCTTGTGACCCTGGGATTGGGGTGTGTGAAACCTCCACATCGCTGTTGCTTTTTCTGGGTCGACTGCTTCAAACATCAGACTGGGGCCTTTTGTTAGGGAAGGCCGCCTGCCATTGGGCTAGCATGGGGCGCAAACGGGATCCAACCAATCAGCTGAATCTGAAGCTCTCTAGGTTTAACCCATCTCTATGCGTTGGGCAGCCCATCCCAGAGTAGGGACCGCCTCTGAAGAATATGTTTGCATGCCAGCGGTTCCAAGGGGTGCCTATTGCAAGGTAAGGGTCCCTATCAGTCTGCGAGTGGATTCTTTGGCTAACATACGCGCAAAAACAACAATATCAAACCACAAACAAACAAACAATCAAACAAACAAAGAAACAGCCTTCATGGTGAATTAGTGAGAGCCTTCATGGTGAATTCGACCGCAAATCGAGTTTAAATAGCCCCAGGTGGGGGTAGGTCCCGGGATACTGGACTCTTACAAAGCACCCCAGCCCTTGCAACTCCTATACATCTGTGGTTGCTGTATACAGTGTACATCTGCATACTATATACCTTAATGTCAACCTAGGATTAACCAACCCCCCTATTAATCAAGCCCAGCTGGAGCCTCCAATACTAAACTAATTTGATCTCTTATCAGGGGGAGGTTCCTTTCCAGAACCCCCCCCTATTAATCAAGCCCAGCTCCCCCAGAAAAAAAGAAATATATATGTTGTTTTTCTAATTATGCAATTTTTATTTGCTACCTGTTCAGCGTTCAATATCTTTTGGTCCATGGTGAAACTGATCTTCCAATCCACCCTTGTCTCATGATTCTCACCACCACCTCTCAGCTGCCTCATCCTGCTCACCAATCCTTTTGATGGCTTCTCCTAAGGGCTCATGCTACCAACCATCCCCCAAAACCCCAAAAACTATCTAGCAAAATCCACCCAAACCCAAAAATCTCTCTAGCAAAATTCGTCCATTTTACCCTTTTAAAACTATATCAAAATCTTGTTTTTTTCAAGCTCAGAAAGGGTACCCCTCACACAGGCCCTACCTCCCCCCAATAGTAGGACCCCTCCCCCTATTAATCAAGCCCACCCTCTGGCCTCATTCTTGTTGTCCAATGCTTTCATCCTGCAATCCTCTTCCTTTTCCAATTCTTCCCAATCAAAGAGAATATCACCAATCTCTAATTTTCTGATCCCTCTCCCATTGGGAATCAAATGCCTTAAGGTCATACCAATCCTCCACAGGCCACCAGTCATCGGACCATCCAGTCAACCATCATCCCATCAACCATCACCCATCATCTGGTCCAGGTCCTCATCTCATCATCCATCATCAGGTCATCATCTTTATTAAGGGGATGTGGTCTCCAAAACCTCCCATCAAAAACCTTGTTGACCTTGAAGGGGGGGTTGATTAATCCTACGTCGACATTACACCTGTAAGCTCTACAACATAATGCATGTATATATTATAGATAATTATAGACATATAACTATATATAGTACGATATATATATATATATATACTCGTGCTAGACTGGATGAAGCTCCTCACCATGACCCATCCCCCGCACCACACTGCCATCCCGCGCGAAAAAAAGAAACATCGCGGCCTGGCGGACTGGAACGCCACGCTGCCATCCCGCTGCGCCTTCTCTAAGGCCGCCTGCGCCGGATCTCTTCGCTCTTCTTCTCACTCCGCGGAGGCGTGTGCTGTCAGTGTCCGACAAGGAAGCTCTGGGAAGCTCTGGCCCAAATGAAAACACCCACCAGAGACACACCAGAAACACTTAGCAAATGAGGTTAAGAGTTGTACAGATACAATCTGTGCCAGCTGTGTCACAGCTCTGAAGATTGATCTTCATGATCTTAGAGGCTCCGAGAGGAAACAGATTCTGTGCCAACATGTTTTTATCCAACACATCTTTACGAACCTTTACAAACAAAAATCCTGGAGCAAACAAAGATTTCTCCAATGGCTGAACGAGGAAACAGCCACAAAATCACAAAGCCCTCCAAGTCTTTTGGCCTTCCAAAGCCCTTCTCTTGGTGGGCTTTCTCAGCAAGGGCTGACCCACACCTGTTTGTGGTAATTACCCACGTGGGTACCCACCGAAGTAGGAGGGATTCAAAGCACCTAATACTACGAATGGAAAACAACACATGATGCAGAATACTCAGTAGAATCTGAGTCTGATAGAACATCATAGAACATGAAACAAGAAGCTACTAGGAACAAGTGCATCGCTAGTAGTAACAGGTGCCTTACTAGTAGTAACAAGAAGCTTTTAGAATGTTTGAACCAATCCACCGATCCATGGCCCATCCCGCTCCGTCCTCGTCTCACCGCCCCCGGTGTTTCGGGTCTTCCCTGAATCCGACGTGTTCACCGGAGGGATCGATCCAGGATTCCCGGCCACCAAGGGAGCTCGCCTCGGTGTCGCGAAGTAGAACCGTTCGGGTTCGGTATGACACGGTGGGTCGGACGGAAGATGTCGCTACTTTGGTAGAACTGGCTTCCAGCTGCTGGTCTTGGGTTTTTGACCAAAATGTTCAATGTTGTTGGCCAGCAGTGAGTTGCCCGAGCACATCTAGCAAGATTGTCAAAGTCTTATATAAATAGTCTACTAAGTACTATGCACATGTGGACGAGGACTGCATGGGCTAGGCATGGTGACATCGTCTTCCAAGAGGGTCGACGATGGAACACAAGAAGCAAGTGAAGAAAGGACAACATAAACATAATTCAACGTCGACCAAAACCACTGAGGGACACCTGTTGCTCTATTTATGTTTGCACTGGATTGGCATAGTGCAAGCATCCTGTACCACTGGATCGATATCTGTTCAACCATGTTCACCCGCAAAAAACAACAGGGCAAGGGATAGATCGGATAGGCCCCTTCCAGAACAGCGTGCAGGATCAGTTCTTTCCACCCAAACCAGGTTCTTGTCATTCACGTGTTGTTCAATCTCTCAATCGAGCTGAGACGATGGGCACCCCGGCCATGGCTCCTCGCCAAAGACGACCGGGGCCACAGGCGAGCCTTGCACCCACACGAAGAACCACTCTTGATTAATAAACCCCCCAATAAATGAAGAGCTTTTAGACAGGACGGGCCGCGAGGGAGGTGATGAAGAGGTTTCCAAATCCAAATGGGGGGGGGGTGATGAAAAAAGAGGGTAGAACTGGCGGCCATGTTCCCATTCCAGCTTCGAAGGGCCCAAGTGGTGTCCTCGGACAGAATCAGGTCTCACCTCCTCTGTCTCTTCACCGATACGCAGTGCTGGCGTCTACCAGTGTTCAGAAGGGCTTCTGACTGTCAACTGTCGGACAGTCCAACATGTCGACGACACAAATCATCCATCCAGGAATCCAGGATGACTCCTCGGCCATGAATGGATCATCTGGTGGTCTGGTGGGCACCTTTTGGCCCTCTCTGGGGATCACAGGACTCCCGGACGCAGGTGGCCTGAAAAACACGGTGAGTGGCGCAATCCAAGAGGCAGGGCTGTTGAGGGTCCAATTTCTCTCTGCTGGCTGCAACAACAAAACGCCCCAGCAAAGATCTCCAAGAGTATAGGATCTGGAGAAGATGACGTTGCCCGAGAAAGGCTTATAGTTGGTATAGTTACGATCGTTGCCTGCAAATGCCAAACCTCATACACACCAGCTCCAGGTTGCTGCAAACGGATGTGGGACGCAGCCCAAACCAAACGGGGCTTGATTGGCTTTGCTCCGCCAGTCATGTTTGCTTCGTGTAACCATGCAATCCAATCCGATCCAAGCCAGTTTGTGTGTTATACTGTAATACCAACAGTATAGACTTCTATATCAGCTAGACCCATCTTTCGCCGCTTCCTAAGGCTGACCTCAACTGCAACATGTAGAATCAACTGCTTTGGGCACAAGCCGCTGCCAAATGGCATGAAAAACATCTGATTCCGCCAACTCCCAAATGAAACCTTGCCCACACTCAGTGACATCGCCAACCGACCCCGCGCCTGTCGCACTGGTGGGCTCCCTCAAAGCCTCTGGTGCCCCAGCTTCCACCACTGGCGCTGCAAGCGCTCCACTCTCAGCATTCGGTACGGCGGAGGTCTCGCCCGCTGACCCGTCCTCGGCGCCGTCTGCGGGCGCAGCTGCGGTCGCTGTCGGCATTGCCTCGGAGCTTGGAGCTGCAGTGTCGGCAGCATCCGCCTGGCGCTGGTCGAGCGGGAGCACCTGATGGACATTCGGAGCCTATATCCTTGGGGTTTGCACACACATCACTCATTTCAGGGAAGCTGGGTAGGCTATGCGGAGATTCCAAAAACACCAGGTTCCGGCCATCCTCCCTATCAAACCCGGCCCAACCATTCACAAAAGACACATATGACACTTGGGTCCCATGAAGACACCAGATTTTTCGAGGTCTAAACTCTAGCAGCTCGACCCCACGGTGAAGGGGTCTTAGAAGCCAGCTCAAGACTCGACTCACGTGCCAAATGGCTGACTGCCTCAGTCTCAAAAAAGCTGTTTACCCGCTGACAGGGTCCAGTGGGAGGGTGATTTGCCTAAGGTTTTGGCCCACATGGTCTTTGGACGATTTTTTTGCATTTGGAGCCAGGACTTCTGAGTTCTGAGGCCCAAATGGGAGGGGCCCTTTTGAACGCTATCACGCACCGACTCACCCAACCGCAGGGTGAACGAATGGATTGGACGCCCGCTCGACTCGCTTGACTCGCCCGCACCTGGCACCTGGAGACTCTTTTTCGTCTCCCTTTGGAGATCAATGTGAAGCGTCCAGTGAAGGGTCCCGGTGAATGCAGTTTGGAACAAAACATGTTGGTGAATCCGGTGTTTGTTTCATCCTCCATTGCATCAGTCACATGTCTGAGTGCAACTTCATCGCTTTTGCCAGACTTGTGTCAGGCACCCTGCGACCACGTCCAACACATGCGGCATGTAGGAACCTTGAATTAGTATCTCGAAGATAGACTCCACACTTCTCTTCCACATGCCCAAAGTGTTCGCACTCTCCCAGTTGGCAGGGACAAGAACATCATAGCAGTTTTACACACCGGAGACCTACTACAGGTCTCCGCCACAATGCTTTGGACAAGGCTGTTGCTCATAGGTGCACCCAGCCAAAGGCCACTCAGTAGTCGTCACCCGACACCAAATCGCTCAGCAAGTCATCTCCTTATAGGGTGAAGACTGGCGCAAACTGCTGTTCTTTTCGACAGGGATACAACGCTCCGAAGACATATCCAAAGGATCCCTGTGACCACAATATAAGGAACTGTAAGGAACTGACGTTTCTTGTGATCACCTGGGAAAACCAGTATATACAAACAAATATATATATATATGATGTGTTTTGGGTATGGAACAAATTGGAAAACAACATTTGGCAAACAAGCATGAAGCCTATATATATATACACTATATATATGCATGTATATATGTATGTATATTATCTCCCTGTGCCTGAGGCATTCCCAGCCCAGATTCTCCAAGAAGCGAATCCGATCTTGCCAGCACAGTGGATTTCAATGAGTCTGTAAGTTGGTGGCTACTATGTACACTGAGACTCCTAGGCCTAGGCATTGAGGCAAAGTTTAGTGGACCCATTGAACAAAACTGCCATGTGCCTCTTGGTCCCTGTGACGATCCAACAGTTCCAGTCTCGGGTTGTTGCAGCCTGGCTTTCTCAAGAACTTGTTGCACCGGTGACGGACTACAAAGATGATGAAGACTTCTGCCTGATGACAATGTGTGTGCCAGTTGGGGCTTGGATTCAAGAATTGCTTTTGTTGCTGGAACTTTAAGATTGGGCGAGGCTTTTCTTGGCAAAGTGGTTTGACCTTCATAAGCGGCCCGGACAATACCCAGCGCAAGGGGCTCTGGCTGAGTTTCGCGAGGCATGTGAAACTCAGTAAAGCACATTAGATATGGGGTACAGTGGTACAGGTCAACCCACCTGGTCTCCGTCGTTCAGTTCGTTCGTCGCTCGTTCTGAGAGTTTCGAGTCTCCAATGCTCCAGACACGACCTGTTTGGGACTGCCATAGGACTTCCGCCCCATTGACCCCCAGTCAACCATCCCAACTGATCAGCATATATATATATATATGGCAGTTGTCTGGGTTTGTGAAAAAAGAACCAAACACGCCAACATCCCGGGTCCCAGCCCATCGCTCAGAATGGAGTTTGAGGAACGGGAATCGGATTGCGATACCTGGCCCCCCAGAAAGTCAGTTGTCCTCAGAACTTCACCATTTGCAAGCTTAAAACTTCAGGACCCTCTCCACCTTTGTCACCCAGAAACGCTAACAGTGTTCACTGTTCGTTGACGTGTACCCCGAGCTGTTGAAGGAAGAACATAGGAGAGCAGATAGTCTTCAATTAAGTATGAATCCAACCAGCCTGTCCTATACCTTGCAAGTACCTGGACCCTCCGGCTGTGCAGAATTTCAGCCCCTGAGATTAGAACAAAGAATTTCAGACCTTCTCCTTGATTTCAGACCCTTAACAAAAAACAGCCCCGGAGACTTTTTGGAAATTGTAAGACTCATGCATGTCTACCTCACAGGTTCTGCGATGCTCAAGCTCTGTCATGCATGAACATTCCAGTCTGAAGGACACAACTTCCACTTGGTTTCGATTATGCACCACAAAAATTGGATCCACCTATGCATCCCTCCAAGATCCTTCCCAACACTTCAATCTAGCGGGCAGCTATGCTATGGCCAAGCTTTGTGACTTGGTTGCTAAGCCGGGGTGGGTGGTTGGTCAAACAGCAGCCGCAAAACCATTTTCCCCTTCAGACATCAAAGTCCCCTTGCGTTCTTGAAGCGCTTGATCACCAAATTGGCCTTGATCTTGTAGGCCAACAATGTATTGTGTGTATGATTTCGATAGCTCACCCTTCTGCTTTGCCGAGAAACTCGGCCTATGAAATCCTCTGAAGTAGAGGTGTCGAATACAGCTGGGTTCAGGCTGTGCTCTTGTGCCTCTGAGGACTGCAAATCATGCACCACATGCGCTAAGCTGTGTAGTTTTGGAACCATGCCAAATAAGAATAGGTTCTTCTGCAAGGATAGCTGGGCCAAGCGAGCATATGAAGCAAGAAAAGCTTGGGCACTCTTGCTGGCGGAGACATTGCAAGACCTTTTGAGCCACAATCCATGGCTGTGCACTTTTTGAAGCATCAGCCCAGCATTGCAGCCCTGCCAAACCAAGTTCAGAACAACCCAGCCTGAAGAAGCTGGGGGTGCGCTCAAACGATGAAGCGCTGTAAGCCACCGGAGCCATCTGAGAAACAATATCGTGTCACTTCCCTTACAACCCAGGTAAGGGAATGACGACTCTGTGTTCCTGTGCATTTTTTGTTTTGAAAATGATCGAATGCCTGATGTAGTGACACCTTCAGCGCAACTCCAAAGATAAAAGTTCGACCATGCCCTCTTCAGCCTGGCATCCAAAGAATGGCTGTCTCCATCAGAGTCGAAGTAGTTCTCGTATGCCAACAACAAGATTGCACTGGCACAAAAGTTCCGGGCACAACCCAATCTAAAGATGTGGAATAGGTCATGCCGAAACCACATGGCAGCACGACCAGAGAGCCATGGTTCAAAGGACAAAGACGCAAATGGCGGCAGCTGTGTCCATGGAGGACTACGAAAGACTGTGCTCTTCCAGCGCGCGCGCACACCAAAGTCTTCGAAGGGAACTTGTTGTCCTCCTGCACCGCACTGGTGGCAACATTCTATCTCATTCTTATGACCAACATTTTGGTAGGAGCGTGATAGCAGGCCAGTCTTGGCTGCATACTCTAAATCAGATTTGTATCCAAGAAGGGCAAACCAATACCTGGATCCACCATACTCAATGCCAGCCTCACAGATCTCAGCAAGGTCTTCAGCGATCCCACCAAGAATGCTCATGAGCAGGCCCGGAAAATTGGGAAAGCGCTTCGAAGCAAAGGCACACAATAAAAAATGTGTGAGGTACGAATTGTTCTTGGCATTCAACCTTTGCATCATGGGATCACTGAAATCAAGTCCACCACCATAGGTGTAGGCTTGGCAACAAGAGCACGCTTGTCCTGGTTCCAAAGTATTGAGCCCCAACACTGCTTGAATGCTTACACACTCTAGTGGTTGTTTCTTGAGTGTCCTCCCACCATCTCCATGCATCACAAGTGGAATGACATATTCCAGCTGGACTTCATTCCTCGCAGCACGCTGGAAGACAGCATGCGAACTGTGTTCCAAACGGTATTGCCTCCAAAAGGAACCCAACAATTTGTTTGCTGCTGCTCCAGGGTTGAGGCCACCAAGCAACAGCCAAGGAAATTCAGTGAAGAGCTGCGACAAAACATCACTTGGTTTGAGATATGGCAGCTGAGTAGTGTCTCCATTCTCAGTAAACTGATGGTACGATGTTGGGATTTTCCTTGCTTGTTGATCTATGGCCCAAGCTCCCAACAGTTTGACAGTTTGACAGGGCTTAGCTGGGACACCAAGCAGTGAATGAACAGATAAAAACGTTTTAAATCAGGGCACAGGTTCAAAGAAAATCCAAAGCGTTTCGCGGCCCTTTGGTACTGTCTTGATGCATTCTTGATCGAACGGCCCAACATGGTGACAGTAGAAGGGTGCAGTGCAGCACACGGGTCACACTGCAGTTCGTTTTGCAGGGCAGTGCCGTGGGCTTGGAGCGTTTGCGCCGGAGCCTCAGCAGGTTCAGCCAAGAGATGACTGCGGATTGAACTGGCTTGGGTGGGGGTCCTCAATTCCTCAAGTCGTAACAACCAGAAAAGGGTTCTTCTGATCAACCAATGATGGAGATGGGGGACACATGGGGAAACTTGCAATAAACCATCATTTAGTAGGCAAGCAACCCCATCTGCAATAGTTTCGACTATGTGCGTAATCAAAGGGCCCGGTGTACTTGATGATGAAGCACCTGGCAATCTATAGATTCTATAGATCGATTACTTGCTAAATGAAATCGAGTACGAAAAAGCGACAAAGAGAGACTATATAGCGATCGAGATAGAGGGCGCACACAGTCGCACAGCAGCTTCCCTTTCCACCCCTGAAACCTTTTGTCATGGCAGATGTTCTATCACCCAACCAGGCAAGGCATTACCTTGCAGGAATCCCAGCCTAAGGCGATGCTTAGGACCAAACAGCATCACACCCCAACGCA